CCGGTGGAGCTGGCCTGTCGTGTGCCATATAGCAGGAAGCTACCATAAGGTGCTTTTCCTCGCTTTCTAGCATCACAGCAGTCAGGTCATCAGTGCTGTAATGAGACAAAAGGTAAGCATGGATGCCCTTCCGTACGAGTACGGCGGTTCTGGTCCTGCTTACCGATGGTGAGTGGAAAAGGTTGTAGTTAGCGGACTTTAGTCCGGCCACAGCGTTGCCAGAGGCAATCCATGGCTCCTGGACCAGAGCTATGTCGACGGGCCCTTGCTCCATGGCGATGAGGAGCTCCGTCGACGCGAGTTTGCTTTTATGTAGGTTGAGCTGCAGCACCCTCACTGACATGGGAGGCTGGCTGAACTACACTCGACGGGTTGACTATTACTGTGAGGTCTCCGTCCTCCTCCTCTTCGGAGTCGTCCAGCGCCATACCCTGAGCGACCTCCACGATGGATTCCAGACCGAGGTCCTTCTCCACCTCGCCTGCCTGCAGGGTGTGCGTGTCCTTGTCTTCGGTGTGGCGCTTTTTGAGGCGGAGGTATACGCTACCCATGCCCCACGCCATCTTCCCGAATCTGGGAGGATCTGATTTGGAGGATCGCACTCTGGGCCCCGTTGGGTAGTGGGCTCCCAATGTGCAAGATCCTCCAGTTCGCCGTTGGCACGTCTGGGTTCTGCCGCTGTAGCAGCCTCAGCGCACGGTCTCCTTGGATTGCGATGGGGAAGAGTACCTTCGCCTTTGGTATGGACGGGATTAGCTCCCTGTCCACAACCTCCAGTCTGGCCCCCTCCCACATCGCCTCCATTTGGCAGACCGTTTGCGTCAGCCACTTGAGTGTGGGGTCGTCCATACATTTCAGTATTTTGACCCCGTTAAGCCACGCAGCACCATCGAACGGGGGCTGTTGGGTCCTCCTCCATTCTTCCGAACAGCGACTCTACGAGCTGCGCGTGCACCATCGTCCACCGCGCCTCCGTCATCTTGCCATTCTCATCGCTCCGGTCAATGAGTGCCACGATCAGGTGTCGTTTGGTCACCTCATTGACCTTCGCCTTGGATTTGGGCTTCTTTGCCGTTTTGGGTGGAGGTCCCACCCCTTTGGGCCCGAGTTGCCGCTTGCTCGCCGGAGTGTCCTTACTGACGCTCTCGGTCGAGCGTTGCCTTTTGGTGGCGAGAATCTCCTCCACCTTGTTGGCAACTTCCCCCTTCGTCGCTTTCATTTGCGGCATTTGTGCAAAGTGTAGGCGGCCCTCCTCTACCTTCTGCTCGGCCCAGGCTAGTTTGGACTTCTCCTCTTGGGAGATGTCTTCTCTGCCTTGGAGCCGGCTTCGGATCTTGAGCGCCGCCTTGTATTGGGCCTTAGCCTTCATCCCCTTCCTAGAACTCTTCGGCCCTTCCCTACACAGGGAGCTGGTACCTGGTTCAGGCGAGCGGAGAAGGCTCTCTTCCTCCGTTCTGCTTACGCTGAGCACGCTCTCCAGGTCCGAGTCTGTTTCGACCACGGCACCCGTGCGGCTCAGCTTGCAGAGAGGCGTTTTGGTGGCAGTAGCTTTAAAACTAATATGACCTGCTCCCGCCATATCAGAGTTGTGACCGCTGGCGACACGCAGAGAGGATTGCTCCTCCCCGTGCCCGCCGGTGGTAGCAGTCACGCTTTCCACCGACGTTTGGACTGACATCCCAGTCCCTGCTTGATCCTTACTCCGGTCCATGTGGTTAATATTTATCGGGGGGACCACCCCCTAGTGTTTTATGCCTGTCCGCCAGGCACCTCCAGCCATGGCCATGGTTCAGTTCCCCCAATTTTATATCGGGAAGACCTGGACCCGGCCTTAGCTAGACGCTGCATTACCTCGGACAGAGCAAACGGCAATGCATTACCCGATCCGGGGTAATGCAGTGCCCATTGCCCGGCCGGCTCCCTCTGGGAGGGTTCAGCTGGAGGATTTTCGCCTGGCCATATTGACCTAAAACTAAGCGACTAATTTCTCAACAGCCGTATTTGACAAGTAAAAAAGGCACGCCTTCATAACATACGGAACGATTTTACAACCTCCCAACCTCTGATGTATTTTTCGCAATAGCAGCCACGTGTTCACCTGAAATTCTTATATACTGCTTTAGAGGCTTGCCTTTTGTTTAATACAATTTGTTTCTCTGTTAGAACTTTTTCAGAAGAATTAGAAAAAATTCGTATTTTTTAAATTTAGACGCAGCTATAAATTGAAATGAAAAAATTGTGACGGTACTACTCGTCCTACCCGTACTCCCTACAAAGTGTCGTCATTACACTTACTTTCCCTTTTTGCCTTTTATAGTCTCTTCACTATCCTCGTAAAAAAAATTGTTATACCCGGTACTCGAAGAGTTTAGAAATATACTAGTTTTGTGGTCGAAGTGGATGTGGCCGAGTCAATATAGCTGTCTGTCTGTCTGTCTATCTGTCCGCATGTCCGCTCCAATGCATCGTAGCGTGAAACGACCGATCTAGCTTATATAAACTAATATTGTCAAAAGTATACAAGATATCGTCATGCTGTTTTTCCCTTGGGTACTGTGTTAGTTATAGAATTTTTGTTGAATGGCATTTGTTTAGGCAGCAGCGCTAACAGGGCAGCAGCGCCATTAAAAGTCCAGTGTAACAGCCTGTGTCCGCTCTCCACTGACAGCCTGTAGCCGCTTCCGTCTACAGCTCTTTTATCGCTCTCTGACAGTGCTCTCATGATCCACACGGCCTTAACTTGTAAGCTAGACGACTTGACGCTCACGCCTTCGCTGATGCTCGCGCTCCCGCTTTCCCGAAACCCGGCGACAAGCAGCATTAGCTTAAGCTAAATTTATTAACAATCTACCATCTGTAAAACGGCCGACTTTTTCGCACCGCGAATGTTAAAAAACATATACATATTGAAGAACCCTGGAATTACTACTTCCTTTGGAAATAATACTTTCTTTGCGCTTACCATCTGGGGGATCACCATCTGATATTTTTTTTAAATTTTATATATATTTAAAAGTTTTTTTTTGATATAATAATACATGACACCATTTTTCCGGGTCGTACCAAACCAACTTTTTATAACAATTTTTTGTTTTCTATGGCAGAACTGTTTATACCCGTACACCAAAAGTTAAGGGGTATATTGTATTTGTGGTAAACGTAGGTGTGTGTGCAACGCAGGGAAGGAAACGTTTCCGACATCCGAAAATACGAAAAACGGAAATTAACTATTTCTACCAGATCGTTCACATCGGATCATTATTATAGCCAGAACGAAGAAATTAATTTTTAGTTGCTAACCCCATCCCCTTCAGAGCTGCACTACTCATTCTCTTTCTCGCTCGCACACTCTGGCTCGACCTCTGGCGGTGGTGTAGAATCTAAATTTTAATGTAAATTTAAACCGATAAAATATTTAAAAGTTCCACATAAGTCATAAGCTCAAATACATAAAAAGCAAATGTTATATACTGCCTGAGTACGGGTATAAAAGTAGAGTCGCGTCCACAGAAGCGACTCACAAAGTTCCTTCTCATTAGATATTTATATTCGTTTATTATATTCGTACATTCTATATTGACAAAAAATGCATATAAAGGATATAACAGCAATATTCGAGTTTCTTATGTTGGGCGGAATGCGTCTGTAAAAAGTGTCATAGTAAATACAAATACTCTAAAGTATAGGGTATATTTTGACAGCGCTGAAAAAAAACATACACATGCAGCAGAGAACGACATCGTGTGATTGCAAAACGTTTACACATACAAATCACCCAAATAAAATCGCTCAGCGTCACATACTTGCATGAGCACATATGTTCGCTGTTTATTTTAAATCACTCAAGCTGTGCCTTCGTTTATTCTGGCTGAGTTTTTTATTTATTTATGCTCGCTCATGTTTCTGGTGTTTGTTAATTTAGCTTAGCAATGATCGTATTGATTATGAGTAAACTCAGCTCGTATGATTTTATTTAAGTGAAGGAGTCTGTTACCAGTAGCTCACGTTAGGCTCTCAAGTCAGTCGAGTGCGCTTTTGCAAAACTGCGCTTTTGTAAAAATAAGCGTAAACTGGTTCTTACACATGTTAGATATGATTGTATTGTATATAAAGGTGCGATTTGGATGTGTACAAGAATTAATCCGAACGAAACTTTTGCCAGCACGAGCTAAGTTTGTTCAACGATGAGCATTTTTGAGTGGTTATATATGAGTAAAGCAAGAAAGTTACCGGAACGAAGCGTTTGCCAGCGCGATTGCATGTGTGTAAGTACTTAAGATCATGAGTAAATCAAGAAAAATGTGATTTTTGCAGGTCTCTGACATGCAGGCAGATCTATAATGCTTAAAAACATAATGCAATTACATTAGATGGACCATCAGCTGCGCTGATGCTTTGCTTGCTTTGCACTGATAAAAAATGAATTCAGATAAAGCAAAATGTTTTGCGCCAAAGAAAAGAAAAACGAGAAGTAACGTGTGAGTCGCTTGACAGACAGACATGGCTATATCGACTAGTCTTTTGATGCTGATCAAGAATAGGCTTGATCTATCAAACAATTCTGAACTGATTTGGGCGAGCTTTCAGCACAGCTGAGCAGCACTTGCACTAATGCTGTGTATTTTGTTTGGAACTTTTAAATGAGTTTTCAGCTCCGCTTCCAGCTATAATGTTTTGTTCTGAATGCTTCTAGCTACACGTTAATTGATGCACAATCAATTTGGAAGAAACAAAACCAAGAGACATAGAGTGAAAAAGTCCAGGTTCTCAGTGCTGTTGACTGAACTAAATATTAGCTAATACTCTCTCAGCTTCGCTGAGATTCTCACCTGTGATGCCTGCGAGCTGCGAAATTTAATTTAAGAAAACAAAAAAAATATAGAGACGTGTCAGAATAAGCGATCAACTTGTGTTTTTCGCCGTCTACGTATTATAATACGCTTTTTACATGTACAAATAATTTTGAAGTTCTAATCCATTAACTTTCACTTTTTTTCTAGAGAGCAACAATTACTGAATATATTTGAAATTATTATAACCACACTTGAAGGAAAGTTAAAACGTATTGATAACTTAGATAAAACAGTGGAACTTATGATGAATCACATGGATACGTTGGATAGTAGAGTGGCTGATAATATCGGAAAAAGTGAATTGATTATATCTAAGCTTCACAGCTTGGAGGCCCACATTGTTCAAGATGCTCCCGCAATACAAGTTACTCGTTCGGATAGTGACAAACAAAAAACACAACCTATAAATTCTTCAAATAATATCCTTGAGAATCGATTAGTACAGTTGGACCAAAAAGTAACTAATATTGATATAAAACTAGAGGTTCTAAAATCACAAATAGATAATAACTTTTTACAAGGAGAAGATTTTAACGCCGAGGCTAGTGAGAAAAAGCCTATATCAATGAATGTAATTGATATAACAAAGGCTTTAAACCCAGAAGCGATGATTCATGTATCAGAAGAATTAAGCGAGCTTCGTGATTCAACAGACAGTATTGACAAGAAGTTACAATTTCACATAAACATTGTGTCAGAAAATATTGGTCGAATGGTTCGAATGATACACGATATTCACTATGCTGTGGTAGATCATCACGATCAAGTAAATTCATTTAATAGCACCACAACTGCGCCACCACCCATCAAGTCAAGTAAAATTGATGCGTTAGTTAAGCAAATACGGCCTATGGTCTCAGTATCTGAAAAAATGGACGAAGTTTGGGACGTCGTGGTAGGCACAAAATCTACAGTTGATCATCTTTTACCAAAGTCTGATGCCCTTTTGACACAAACACAACGACAAGAACGGGCCATTGATGAAATTCACCAAGATCTAAAAACTAAAACAAATTTAATTATTAACAACTTAGATATGGTCGAAAAGCGTTTAAAAAAACAAGAGAATGACGTGCAAATACTGGCAACACGTCCAGGTCCAACAGAACTTTTAATGGACCCAACCATTAATCGATTGGTGGAATATGACTCAAGCAAGTAATTTAATTTATTTTCTATTTTAAGTACCTATTTTCTCACTTTTATATTTTTTAAAGATATTCAATAATAGATGACAATTTTACAGAGGTTAACACGCCATTGCCTCCAATATTGTCTTCTATACCACTGTCTGTAACGACATCTCCATCATCTTCCCAATCACCAACAACTACATCTACTGGGGATGTAGTAACAAGTGATGTACCAATATTGTCAACGAGTACCAACATAAGCAATATTATTGGTTCTATGATTAATGGAACACTTTCCGCTTCGACAAGTTCCTTTAGCCCAGTTCCTACGAAATCAACTATTCGAAAAGGGGGCATTATTTTTCCCAGCGTTAAAAATAAGCCAGCTGTTATAAACAACACATTTACCAATGATATTTTAACACTTAAGGATATCAGAGTAAGTAAAAAAAGTTACTAATATATATTAAGTTAATAAATTAAGCTTAGCCTCAAACATCAGCATTTAGTAGTTATCTACTAAATATATTTATATATCGCATCCTGCAGTAAGATAAGTAATTCCTTTAGTATTGAGCGTTAAGAAAAATTTTTCTGAGCCTTTACATACATAGCGAGAGAGCGATGAAGCTGAGCCAACTTGAAATGTGTTATTAAGTCTTGATATTAAGATTTTTAGACAAAACAACTCTTTGGTGAAAGAAGGTTGTTTCCCAAATTTAATCGGACAACATAGCAATTTAAAACCCAGTTTACATTGGAAAACAGGAGCCTGCCTGGATACACTATTCCAAAAAATTTAACGTTTTATTTACGCTTCGCACAAAACTGACTTTTTCTGATAGGACTTTACTTTTTTTATACCCGTACTCAAAAAGAGTTGAGCGATATATTGTATTTGTGGTAAAAGTGGATGCGTGCAACGCAGAGAAGGACACGTTTCCAACCCTACGGCACAATTTTAAAGATACGATAAAACTAAAAACACAGTATCGTAGAGAATGACCATATCTACCAGAATGCCGAATCTGAATCAGATCGGATCATAATTATAGCCAGAATGAAGAAATTAATTTTCAGTTGCTTTCCCCACCTCCTCCGGCAAGAGACCACGCCACTCGTTCTCTTTCTTGCTCGCACTCCCTCTGTCCTGTGCAGTGCGTGACCTTTGCGGAGAATCCAAATTGTACATGTGAATATACATGTAGCAAAAAATGTAAAATGTACAATTTTTTTGAATTCTACATAAATTATAAGCTCAAAAATTTATATTTTTTTGTATGTGTCTGGACGTTGATATGCAATGACTGCACCATCAAGTGGCCCATGCGACAACAAGCCGAAGCCTGTTACTCGCGGAACCCAGGCAGAAACGCAGCCCCTCCTCCCACCCAACCGACCGAGGGCGCAGCAGCATGACGCGCTACGCGTGTTACCGAACCGATCACGAACATGCAGGATAGGTGTTAGACTAAAATTCAAAGAAAGTTAGAGCTAAAAAAAACTCAAAGAGCTAAACAGAAGCTAAGATTTAAGAAAAGGAAGGGAATTAGTGGTGCATATTATATGGTAGAGGGAATTGAAGTCCGAGCATAGGATCCTAAATGGTTCGTGCAAGGAATAATTTGATCTACAAAGCAGAAGGAACAAAGGAATAAAGTTTCTAGTAGATCTAACAGATCATTAATAAAGAGTGTGAATAGTAGGGGGCCTAGATGGCTGCCCTGTGGTACTCCAGAAGTAACCTTAACAGGTGAAGAAAAGGAGTTTTTGAAGAGGACTCTTTGAGACCTAGAACGAAGGTAGCTAGAAATCCATCTCAAAAGATTAGGCGGAAACCCTAAAACGTCAAGTTTTTGTGCTAGGAGGGAATGGTTTACAGAATCGAATGCTTTGCTGAAATCAGTGTAAATGACATCCGTCTGCAAGTTACTTTGAAAGCCTTTAATGATAAAAGAGGTAAACTCTAATAAATTTGTGGTTGTTGATCGTCGCCTTATAAATCCGTGCTGAGACGGAGATATAAGTGATTTGCAGAGATGTTGCAAATGCGGAGTTAAAATTTTTTCAAACATTTTAGTAATAGCGGATAACTCAGATATACCTCTATAATTATTTGCATCAGACTTGTTACCTTTCATATGGAGCGGAATAATAAAAGATTCCTTCCAGATGGGGGGAATCATGAAGAGTTAGTGGATAGGGTGAATAGTTTAAGCAGGGGTCCACACAGAGTGTCGTCACAGTACCTGAGTACACAGCTGGGAACTCCGTCGGGACCTGGTGAAAAAACCGAAGTCGAAGATCATGAAGCAGTGAGCTTTCATTTAACAAGGGGCTTCGACCTTGGTAAACTGTATGTATACGACTGACCAGAGTAGCTTTCATGAGAATAGGTTGTTTGGAAAAATTTGGCAAAAACATCGGCAATTGCCTGATCATTGTTTGCTGACATATTGAAAAATGATAGCGAGGGTGGATGTGCGAACGTTCTACGCTTACTATTTACGAAGCTGTAAAACTCTTTAGGGTCCTGTGAAAATGAACATGGACCATGAAATGTTCCGACATGAAGTTTGAGTCCACTGCAATGAAAACCCCACCTCCACGTCGAGACGAACAGTCATTTCTAAAAATTGTGTACCGACCTGCTAAAACTTCGGAACTAAGGATGTCCGGCTTTAACCAGGTCTCGGTAAACACAATAACATGGGACGAGAATGCGAGTTTCTCAAGAAAAAGAGTGCTAAGCTTACTACGCAAGCCTCTAGCATTCTGGTAGGTAACTTAAAGAAGAGGAAGTTTTTGAATGAGTAGAAATTGAGGTGGAAGATGAGGATGGAGATGGAGATGGAGCACTGGTCTGACTACTAGAAAGAGTTATGGGGGGCCTATTCTTTTTCTTAGCCCTAAACTCTTTGACGACCAAATACTCCGGCCAAAACTTGGCGGTACAAATGGTGTCAAATTGAGTCGGGGAGACGCTAATCTTAAAGGAAGATATCTCCCTGGCGTAAGAAAAGTTAAATTTTTCCACCTTTAAGCCGACGGCTTTTATTTTGCTTTGTATAAAAGCGGTTACATCATTGGATGAGAGGTCAGGGGCTAGCCGCGAGACAAAAACTTGTCGCTTTGGTGGGACTCCCACCAGTGGTTTTGGCACCACAGGCCTAGTACCTGTGATGCCAGTATCCGGTGGTCTTTGACACCTATTAGCTGGTGGGAGCGAAACTTATGCGATAGTTAAGAAGTTGGGTGCGGACTCGACGGACACGGACGCTACATACATGTCTACCTGCATACTCTCCGATGTGACGCATTCGGCTCCCGAATCTGCATCACCAGCAGCGATCGTGGCCCTTGGAGTAGCAAACGTAATCAACTGCTGCACTAAGGGAGTGGTCGGAGTAAGTTTTTCGGCTGCCGGCGGACATGAGGCAGTCGGCACTTGCAAGTCCCGTGGAGTAGACTTCTTGCGCCTCGGAGACTCAGCCAGCAGCTGTAAACTGCTGAACTGACTGTCCATGGCCAAGAGCCGATCATATTGCTGTTTATAGCCTGCGATCAGCTCTTTGAAGCCTTTCCGCGTCTGCCTCATGAACAAACGCATGTCGTTTTCCACAGCACGGCATTCCTCACAACTATAATGCAGGCAGTTATTTTGGGAAATGGCATCACCTACACGGCCCGAGATCCCTACACATTTTGGGCTGGTCATGGGTGATCTGCTTCTTGCCGGTTTTTTCGGCGCAGACGGCAGCAAATTCCATGTCTTTTATTTTTTTAATTCGAGAAAAAAAAAAGTTCAAAACAAATAGATGCAAAGCAGATGCTTAAAGCAATGCTTAAAGCGAAATCAGTAAAAATAAGATGAGAGAGGAGAGTGGTTGCAGCAACAGCTTATTAGTGAGTGCGTTACTGCACAGAAAGTTACAAGAGGGAGGGAGAAAAAACAGTTATTGAAAGTTAGGTGATAGAGAGAGAGAGTGATAGACCGCAAAAGCTACGACAAAGAGCGGGTAAATGTAATGAAAGGGCGTACTTACGAAAAGCAACAACACAAACACACGACTAACCGACGCAAAAAATTAATCATGTAAGTTGTGGTTTTACAGAATTATTAGGCATGCACCCGCGGTAAAGATTGATTTTAATTTTAGTTAGTAGGAGAGTTAATTTAAAGATAAAAAAAAGATGAAAACACCGGCTGTTTAAGCAAAATAAAAGGAAATTTCGGAGCGCAAAACAAAAACACGTCTGGTCACTACGAAAGAGAACGAACATATACTGACTGAGTACGGGTATAAAAGTAGAGTCGCGTCCCCAGAAGCGACTTACACGTTCCTTCTCGTTTATTTTAAGAATTATTATGGTTTTTTTCTATTAGAAGAACTTTTTTTAAACAATTTAAAATAAAAACAATGTGAGACAGTCATTTTGTACTTTGCACGAGAAAAAAAACGAGAAGGAACGTGTGAGTCGCTTCTGGGGACGCGACTCTACTATACCCGACTGGTATAACCATTATGGTAGATTTTTTTATTTAAAATTTACATTTACTTTTTGCTGATACAACAACAAGTATATTACACAACAGTAGATTGTACAGTTCATTGTCTATCTCCTCCGCTAGGGTTGCCGCGCACTGAACGCGGCGGGGCGGGGGGGGGGGGGGGGGGGGGCGGCCACGGCAAACCGACGATCGGCACGGAGGCCGACGGGGGGGGGGGCGAAATTTTAAAATACACTTGTAGCAGTGTGATATCACATGAGTCTGGAAACAAAATTTGGTTCCTCTAGCTTTTATAGTCTCTGAGATCCAGGCGTCAAACAAGACGGACAGACGGACAGACAGACGGACATGGCTCTATCGACTCGGCTATTGATGCTGATCAAGAATATATATACTTTATGGGGTCGGAAAATTTTCCTTCTCTGCGTTACACACATCCACTTTTACCACAAATCTAATATACTCCTTAACTCTTTTTTGAGTACGGGTATAATTAGGTTGTATACCGAGATGAGTATATCACTTCCTCATACTTAGAATTATCAATACACTCCCAAAAATTTTGTTAAATTTAAAAACCGCAATTTGGTAACTGCTTGCACTCTCATAATTTTTACTCAAAACCTGCAGCGCAGATATCCACAAAAAGTATTAGGCTGGGAACAAAATTGTATTACCTTTTACGAATTTTGATTCGAGGTAATAGAATTGATATATCTGAAGATAAAAACTCAAATTTGAAGTTTTCTACCATTTTTAATGTTTCTTTAAGTGGATTTTTTTTTCGGTCCCTGTTCTGAATAGATAATATGTGCAGCTATAAATTGGACCTGAGGTATTTGTGGTTCCTGCTTATATTATATCATCTGCACACTGAGCCCATCCCAGGGGAAGGGTGGGAGTTTTTGAAAGGTGTGAAACACCGATTCGCACTAGGACCATCCACCATCCATGAAAATCAGCTGATGCACACAATTTGGTGCTGCGGAAATTTTGATTACTTTTATAATTTAAATAAATATTAATAATATTGCAATGGTTGTGAATGTGATCCAGCGCCAAAATATATTCAAGCAGAATCTAATCATGTTGGTGGACATGAAAATGATGATAACATTGAAGAAGAGAATTTATTGGAAAAGATATCTATTTTGAAAACACTGAAGCGTGGTCATTTGTGACTGCTTCTACTAAATCAAATCAATGTTTTAAATACAAATATACATATATTCTATTTTTGTTGAGAAGCGGTTTGGGAAATTTGGGGAGAAAGATGTACCCGAAAACAACGAGGCGTTTTTAAAGCTATGTTTTAGCCGTATACTTTGTGCTCTTTTTCTGAGTACAGAATAGTCGGAAGACTGTCAACCCATAGCGTGTGCAATATCCTACATGAGTTTTGCAGAGCATTCATAAATTAGAGGATCACAGAGGATAGTCCACAAACCGAGTTTTGTGACTGAGAAAATTCTGAAATATCAGATGTTTTGTTGTTGTTTTTTACCATTTTCCTGTCTGTCATTGTTTACATTTTCGTAGTGAATTCCGATTTTTTGTTTTGAATGTCAAATATTTATGTTTGCATTTGAAATTTATCAAATACATATCGCATAGAATCGTGCGAACGGCTCATCCCCGAAATGGATGGTCGCCAGTGTGAAAAGGCTAGAAACCTATAAAAGACAGAGATTTGCCCAAAACGCAAAACTTTAACCATAGTGTAAACGGGCTAAAAGATACGATTTTTCTTAAAGCCTAGTACTCAGATCAAAAAAAAACACCTCGCGAACACAATCAGGGTTGATATTCGTATGAAGCCGATAAGAAATTTTTTACGACAAAAACTGTTTTCTAGGCTCTATACGGAAGGCAGTACTCAGATCAACAAAAAAAAAAGGTCGGTATATACTGGTAAAATATCCGAAGTATTTGCTTGTTTTTTTGGTATGTTTAGACCCACATCGAAAATTATATCAATTTGATATATTTTTCCAGCCAACACGAAGCAAACATTGCAATAAGAGTACAAAAAACCAAATGAAATATTTTATTAATATTAAGACAAATAGTCTGGACGTTTATATGCAATGACTGCACCATCAAGTGGCCCATGCGGCACCAAGCCGAAGACTGTTACGCGCGGGACCCAGGCAGAAACGCAGCACTCCTCCCGCCCAACCGACCGAGGGGCGCTGCCGCATGACACGCGACGCGTGTTACCGAACCGATCGCGAGCATGCAGGAAAGATAGGTGTTAGACTAAAATTCGAGGAAAATTAGAGCTAAACACAACTCAAAGAGCTAAACATGCAAAGATAGCTAAAAAATATAACTAATTACGGGAAAGGTATGTTAGTATTAGAGATTTAAGAAGAGGAAGGGAATTAGTAGTTTATATTATGTGGTAGAGGGAATTGAAGTCCGAGCAAAGTACCCTAAATGGTTCGTGCAAGGAATAATTCGATCTACAAAGCGGAAGGAACAAAGGAATGAAGTTGCTAGTAGATCTAATAGGAATCGTAAAGTTTATGCGGCTCAACAAGTCAGGGCTATCTACGTCACCCTTGATCAGGTTGTGCATAAAAATCACACCAAGCATTTTTCTACGACTAACTAAGGTTGGAAGGTTTATTAAAAGCAATCTACGAGGATAAGATGGCAGTCGCACACCTGCATCCCAGTTAAGGCCACGCAGAGCAAAAAGTAAAAAGTTTTTCTGGACTGATTCTATACGGTCCTGGTGTACTTTGTACTGGGGGCACCATACACAAGAGCCGTACTCTAAAATCGGACGAACAAGCGAGATATAGAGAGTCTTCGTTATATAGGGGTCGTCAAATTCCTTTGACCACCTCTTTATAAACCCAAGCACGCCCATGGCCTTATTTACCATGGTAGAAATGTGTTCAGAAAACTTTAACTTTGGGTTAAACAGTCTAGTTTAATACCAAGATCATCAACCAAGGTAATTCTCTCAAGAGAACCACTGCAGAGGCTATATGGAGCCAAAAAGGGCCTAGAGCGATGAAATGTCATTACTTTGCATTTCAAGGCATTTAGGTGTAACATATTTGCACAACACCATGATTGAAAGTTATTGAGATCGGATTGCAAGCGAGAGTAAAATGAAATGTCCTTATACTGGACACAGAACCACACACATCATCCTCATACATGAGTACTCGAGTGTGTTAATACTGAAGGCAGAACATTTATAAAGAGTGTGAATAGTAGGGGGCCTAGATGGCTACCCTGGGTACTCCGAAGTAACCTTAACAGGTGAGGGGTTGAGGACCCTTTGAGACCTAGAACGAAGGTAGCTAGAAACCACTCAAAAGATTAGGCGGAAACCCTAAAAAGCAAGTTTTGTGCTAACAGGGAATGGTTTACAGAATCGAATGCTTTACTAAAATCAGTGTAAATGACATCCGTCTGCAAGTTACCTTGAAAGCCTTTAATGATAAAAGAGGTAAACTCTAATAAATTTGTGGTTGTTGATCGTCGCCTATAAATCCGTGGTGAGCGGATATAAGTGATTTGCAGAGATGTTGCAAATGAGGAGTTAACATTTTTTCAAACATTTTAGTAATAGCGGATAACCAGATATACCCATATTTATTTGCATCAGACTTGTTACTTTCATATGGAGCGGAATAATAAAAGATCCTTCAGATGGGGGAACCATGAAGAGTTAGTGGATAGGGTGAATAGTTTAAGCAGGGGTCCACACAGAGTGGCACAGTACCTGGTACACAGCTGGGAACCGCGGGACCTGGTGAAAAAACCGAAGTCGAAGATCATGAAGCAGTGAGCTTTCATTTAACAGGGCTGAAATGCCACGACCTTGGTAAACTGTATGTATACGACTGACCAGAGTAGCTTTCATGAGAATAGGTTGTTTGGAAAAATTTGGCAAAAACATCGGCAATTGCCTGATCATTGTTTGCTGACATATTGAGAAATGATAGCGAGAATGGATGTGCGGACGTTCTACGCTTACTATTTACGAAGCTGTAAAACTCTTTAGGGTCCTGTGAAAATGAACCTGGACCATGAAATGTTCCGACATGAAGTTTGAGTCCACTGCAATGAAGACCCCACCTCCACGTCGAGACGAACAGTCATTTCTAAAAATTGTGTACCGACCTGCTAAAACTTCGGAACTAAGGATGTCCGGCTTTAACCAGGTCTCGGTAAACACAATAACATGGGACGAGAATGCGAGACTCTCAAGAAAAAGAGTGCTCTTTGACGACCAAATACTCCGGCCAAAACTTGGCGGTACAAATGGTGTCAAATTGAGTCGGGGAGACGCTAATCTTAAAGGAAGATATCTCCCTGGCGTAAGAAAAGTTAAATTTTTCCACCTTTAAGCCGACGGCTTTTATTTTGCTTTGTATAAAAGCGGTTACATCATTGGATGTGAGGTCAGGGGCTAGCCGCGAGACAAAAACTTGTCGCTTTGGTGGGACTCCCACCAGTGGTTTTGGCACCACAGGCCTAGTACCTGTGATGCCAGTATCCGGTGGTCTTTGACACCTATTAGCTGGTGGGAGCGAAACTTATGCGATAGTTAAGAAGTTGTGTGCGGACTCGACGGACACGGTCGCTACATACATGTCTACCTGCATACTCTCCGATGTGACGCATTCGGCTCCCGAATCTGCATCGCCAGCAGCGATCGTGGCCCTTGGAGTAGCAAACGTAATCAACTGCTGAACTAAGGGAGTGGTCGGAGTAAGTTTTTCGGCTGCCGGCGGACATGAGGCAGTCGGCACTTGCAAGTCCCGTGGAGTAGACTTCTTGCGCCTCGGAGACTCAGCCAGCAGCTGTAAGCTGCTGAACTGACTGTCCATGGCCAAGAGCCGATCATATTGCTGTTTAAAGCCTACGATCAGCTCTTTGAAGCCACTCCGCGTCTGCCTCATGAACGAACGCATGTCGTTTTCCACAGCACGGCATTCCTCACAACTATAAAGCAGGCCGTTATTTTGGGAAATGGCATCTCCTACACGGCCCGAGATCCCTACACATTTTTCGTGCACTACGCTTTCGCAAAGCCAGCAGGGGATATTGGGCTGGTCATGGGTGATCTGCTTCTTGCAGGTTTTTTTGGCACAGACGACAGAAAATTCAATATTTATGTCTTTTATTTTTTTTTACTTCGGGAAAAAAAAGTTCAAAACAAATAGCAATCAGACCACTGTGCAGAGCAAATGCTTAGAGCAATGCTTAAAGCGAAATCAGTAAAAGATGAGAGGGGAGAGTGGTTGCAGCAACAGCTTATAGGTGAGAGCGTTACTGCACAAAAAGTTACAAGAGCGAGAGCGAAAGAACAGTTATTGAGAGTTAGGTGATAGAGAGAGTGATAGACGGCAATAACTACGACAAAGAGCGGCTTAATGTAATGAGAGGGCGTATTTACGAAAAGCAACAACACAAACACACGACTAACCGACGCACAAAATTTATTAAATAAGTTGTTTTTTTACACAATTATCAGGCATGCACCCGCGGTAAAAGTATGATTTTAATGTAAGTTAGTTAGAGAGTTAAATTATAGATAAAAACACCGGCTGTTTAAGTTAAACAAAAGGAAAATGCGGAGCGCAAAACAAAAACACGTAGTTCTTGGCCAAAATTTTTAGTTTTAGATAGACGAATTAGGCGTCGTTTAAGGTATTGCTCAATAAAATCTATGGATAAACGGTCAACTTGCAGCCGTTTGACCAAAAAGACTCAAAACTAATTTTACCTGAAATTAGTGCTATATGCTGTTTGCTGGCAAACAGTTTTTCAATCTGAGTACTAGGCTTAAGCTGTAGCAGAATGCGACCATACATCGCATCGACTAGAACTTATTTATTATTTAAATCTATCGATATTATCTCACATCTCTAGCCAGATAATTCATCAGTTATTGTACAATGTACATCGCTTATGCAAATTCTATGTTTGTTTTGCGAAATAAAAAACAAATGTTTTCGGTTCAATACTGCGTAATATCAACTTGTTTGTTACTATCAAGTTGTCAAAAGCAAATTATAGATGTTGCAAAATCTCAGGTGTGGGGACCTGGACTCAACCCTGACGATATTGTTTTGCCAGCAAGATATTTTTTTATTCATGCCATCGACAGTAGTGGTAAAAAGTACGTAAGTCTAAAATGTATATCCAGAAAGTATTAAAGTAAATTATTCACAGAATGTCCATGCCACATACAAATTTTCAAGTCAGCATCGACGGCTATTCCAAGGATGGAAAATGCAGATCCAATATAAATTATATTGACCGCGAAGATGGATCTATTATTGTTCGCTACACGATTGTGGATTGGTGCGAGCAAGTGGAAATTAATGTCAAACACAATTCTTCGCACGTGGCACAGTCTCCGTATTATATACAGAATAAAGTATATTCAGAGCGATGCTACTGTCCTCAGGACTTAGATCTTTGGTTATTGAATAATAGATGTTCGGATTTTTCAAAAGACAAACAGATATCTTGGGACTTACATTTATTTAAACGCGTAAACTTTAGCGCCATTAGAGAGAATTTATTAAAACGGTATAACGCTCCAGAAAGTATTTCTTTATGCCACTATGTAGTCAAACAACAACAAATTTGGAGAAAATGTTTTGGTAAATATACTGGCTTTAAGATGTTTATGGACGCAACGTTATCAGCGCTTGCACGTGTAGTTTTATTACCTGAAATGGAATTTTATTTAAATCTTGGTGACTGGCCTCTATCAAGAAAAGGTGGCCAACAAAGAACTTCAGGACCTTATCCCATATTTTCTTGGTGTGGAAGTGACGATAGTTATGACATTACGTTACCGACGTACGATATAACTGAGTCGACGTTGGAGAACATGGGACGAGTTATGTTGGATATGCTTTCAGTTCAGCAAACTGATATTCCATGGGACAACAAAGAAGAGAAAGGGTTTTTTCGCGGTCGAGATTCCAGGCGAGAAAGACTAAAATTAATCGAGTTAGGGAGGAAATTTCCTGACTTGATAAATGCATCCATTACAAACTTTTTCTTTTTTCGCAATGAAGAACAAAAATATGGTCCCAGAGTGCCTCATATATCATTTATGGAGTTTTTCAGGGTATGTAAAAAAAGCTCCGCTTTACATCACACTCATATATATATTTTTAGTATAAATATCAGCTAAATATTGATGGAGCAGTGGCAGCATATCGGCTCCCCTACCTCCTTGCTGGTGGTTCTTTAGTGTTTAAACAAGAATCGCACTACTATGAGCATTTTTATAACAAACTGCTTCCATACAAACATTATGTGCCAATTAAGAGAGATCTTAGCGATATCATAGACAAAATCAGATGGGCAAAAGACAACGACATACGTGCAAAGGAAATCACTTTGGCTGCGCGGAAATTTGTTGACGAAAACCTTCTACCTCAGCACATTTATTGTTATCACATGACATTATTTAAAGAATGGAGCAATCGCCTTATATCGCCAGTCAAAGTTCTGCCAGGAATGGAAAATCTAAGTTTAAGTTACTCATGTTCATGTACAAAAGGCCAGACTAGGGATGAACTATAAGCTGAGCATTTTTTAGGTACTTAAAAAAACAAACATTTCTTTTATTCACGACTAAAATTTTCGAATCTTTTTCAGGATGTTGTCCCAAGATTAAATTATAGTTTAAGTTAACACAAACATAAACTCCCGTCAATTGTAGATCAACATTATCAAATATTTTGTAGCCCATATAAATATCTATCGGAGTTTATTATTACAATTATAATTATTACACTACTCGACAAAACTCTGATTTCAGCTTACCGTATGGGCATAGTTTTAAAATGCAAAAATAATGATTTTTGTGCGGTAATTATCACTATGCACGTTTAAAGCCGCAAATCTTTCAAAAAAAAAGTTGTCTTGTTCGAAGCGGCGAGATCGTGTCGGGTAGTGTTATCAGAATCATTTTCATTTACCGAAAACGCAAAATAGAGATAGCAACAGTAACTTTTTTACATTAATTTAGGCATTAAAGATTATTGTTTATTGCATAAATGTGTATATCATTCGTTGTTTTCTATCATCTCTGGAACTTAAACATTTTTTACAATAACTTTAAAAGAGCTCACACATTTATGCTCGGGCCTTATTGACCAGCCAAATCTGTTACAATTCTTAATTTCACATAATTTTTTTAATCCGACGCACGCTTCTAATAATGATAAAGTCGAGGAGCAATCTTTTTTTTTTTAAATAGAGTCGAAACAAATTTTAGCTTTACCAAATTTTTATAATGTTATCAATTTTCTTATTGATCAGATGGACTTATCACATTGATACTTTTTTATAATATTATAATATTCTTATTAGTTTTATTATTTATTATGTTAGTTTTAACATGTTTTGAGCCTTTATTCAGAAGGAATTTATATAATTTGTTTAAAAATTTTAAATCTCGAAATCTATCAGAAAAAGTAATTTTGGGCCACAGCGGAAATGTCGTGTCGACTAGTGTTATTGAATGAGAAGTACCTACATACAGCTGTGTTCAATGAAATAGTAGTGACGCACCTCATCACTTTCAAAACTCTTTTTGTGTATTTGTGTATTTGGTATTCTCCCATAAGATTTCGATGAGATTAATATCCAGTTGGACAGTTGCCCATGGCAAAACGTCGATCTTTTCCGATAACAATTAATTCCTAGCGAGCTTTTATGGGTGTTTCAAGTCATTATCCGGTTAAAATATCCTTTTAGCAGGAATTTTTCAACTGTAATATGAATGTAATATATTCTAAAGTATGCCTACATACACAGTTTCGCTCAAAACCATACAATACTCAAACGCCAGGCTAGAAAGTACTAGCTCATATGAGCTGGGTCCCATAAGGCTCAGCCACTAACCATACAACATATAGATGTGCCAGTTCATACAACGAAAGGGGCGCAGCTGAGGTTTCTCTGCCAGCACCCCCAGGTCTTCGGCTAGGGTGCTGGGACCATTCGGCTGTGGTGCTGAGACGTTCGGGTCGTGGGCCTGAGACGTTCGGCATTTTTTCGACATGTTCGATTCATGACGAGATGCGAAAGCAAGCTGTGAATTGCAAATGTATGTGTGTAAACAGACACAAAATTTTGTATCAATTCTTATTTTCCGAAACAGTTTTGAGTTTGTTTTTGAGTTTCGTTTCCAGGTTACGTAAATGTGTGTGTGCCATGTATTCACACATAGTGTGCTTGTGTGTGAGCTCTACAATTGTTGGCCGCTTGAATTGGTTTTTCGTTTTGTTTTGAGGGCTGATGTGATGTAGCGACCTATTCAGGGCCGGATCAACCCTCAACCGGGCCCTGGGCAACCATCAATCTGGGGCCCTCCTTTATTTTGTATTTTTTTCAGTATTTCAAGACCTGGGGGTGCTGGGAGAGAAACCTCAGCTGCGCCCCTTTCGTTGTATGAACTGGCACATCTATATACTGTATGGTTAGTGGCTCAGCCTAGCATGCCCAACGATATTTTTTCATGATTTTGGGTGGTAATCGTATTTCTGTGAATGCCAAACATATTATTTTGAGTCTATCTTACCAAATAATACAACTTTACTATCATTAGTCAAAAGTATTTTTGTCACTGTGACACAGGCCATTCCACATGCGTTTTTCCAAACTGAAGTCGTGCACCTATGTACTCTCAGATCCAAACGCGGAGCTTTTTGGGACTTCTTGCCTTCGACCATTGCCGACCAACCTCTAAAAAATAAGTTTTTCGCATACAAAATCGATTTCCAGTCTACTTCTTTTAGTTAATTGGGTTAAATACAATAGTGAGAGTGCTTACAACTTAGTTTTCAATCCCATTATACCTCCTGCCTTAAGTTTTTAGTCTAACTCTTAGGCCTCCTCTTCTGGACCGAGCAATGATTTCTTCAACGCTTCAAAATCAAAAGTACCGCTATGTCCAAAACTTTCTTTCATCAAATTATTCAATAACCAAATTGAGCTTACGGGTGGTGACTTATTTAAATTATTTTGCTTTGTTTATTCATTTTTAAAAATTAATTTAGCCCAGCACTACTCTTTCATTAAACAGCAGATATCATGGGTAGTTGTCTAATGTCATGAAAAACAAGAAGATGGAATGCAAATGTAACGTGATTTCTAATGCTTACATTAGAGGCTTTCCGTAAAGGTATCACTTGTTCAATTTGAAGGACTAGAAATATCTCAAAAAGAGTTTTGAAAGTAGTGAGGTGCGGCACTAATATTTCATTGAACACAACTGTATGTCTAAAGCTAGCACACATCTTCCCTTCTTTTTGCCTCAGGTGAAAAAATTCCTAAACAAGAGTAACTCGAACGAAGATAGTTTCGAGTCCATTCAATATAAGTGATAAGTTCCGCTTCCGGAATTCAGCGCCATTTTCTCACCTTATATCCGGATTACTGAATCTTGGTTTCTTGTCATTCGATAACTTACGCCTGTATAGTATGCGTTTTTGGCGATTGACGAAAAAGCATTGCAGGTCAATATCTGTTTGACTGCTTCTTCGAACGTTTTTCTCTGCATCAAAACCATTACGAAGCGCGTTATATATGATACCTCTCCAGAAAATCGACTGTCGCAACATTGTAAGCTATGATAGGAACACGATTTTCGAGTCCATTTTACACCTGCCTGATCCCATTGTCAATATGATTTTCCACTTTAATTCTTCTGTCGATACGAATACGTCAAGACGCTTAACTGATGAGAAGTTTTTCTGTAGTTTCTTGTCCACTCCACTCCAGCCCTATTCCCTTCCGTCTGTTGCTATATCGTCCAATTTTTGTTATTCGACCTTGTGATCCTCTATTCCTCACTTGCACTATCATCTATTGCTGTTAGTCACCTTGACCCTTAATCTGCTCTGCTTGACCGTCCACATAATCTGTTACAAAATAAATATCTCCATAAAATATCTCCGAAAAAATATATTTTTCTTAATATACATATTAGGGGCTCAAAAAATCTGTAGTGAACCCGTACTCGAAGAGTTAAGGTAAAGACAATATAAGATACATAACGCCATACGAAATTGTTGCACACGAATTTTGCAGGCTGGCTTTAGAGCTGGCTCCAGGCTATTTTGCAATTTTTTAGAGAGAGAGAGAGCGCTTTAGAACCAGCCGCTCTTTTGTATGCATACAACATACGAAGGCACACGAAGTTGTTTCTCTGCCGCTGAGACAGCCGAGCCGAGTCGTTGTCAGCTACAGCGCTGTCGAAATATACCCTTCACTTTATAAGTGTAAAATGCCGTTTACATTGGCAGACGTGCGTCTTGAATTTTGATTTGGGTGCTGGATGACAAGGAAAGAAAAACAAATTTTGGAAAAGCAACAGAATTATGCAAGACGACAAGAAAATGGACGAAAGAGAATTGATTCTCATATTTATTTATTATTTTCAGACATTTCTTTGTAGAGTTTGTGGGAGTTCCTCTTCAAATTATGAAAACCATCGAAGTTCGTCTCCAGCAGTGTCTTAATGTCATCAGGAGGTCACAAAAATGTCGTATGATAATATAACAATCAGTTTCAAATATTTTATTTAATGATTTTATGTATATTTGCACCTTTTTGCACAATCATAAATTTTTAGCGACAAAATTTAATTTTTGATCTACAATTTTTTGTTGTTGCGCAAAAGCAATCGAATATATCGAATAGATCCACATGAATCAGAGACTGACGCAACTTTTTGCCACCACTAGGGCCCTATGTTTAACCTATGTAAAGAAACTGCGATGCAAAGAAGCATGACGCAGGTCCAATGTTAACAGCCTATAAGTTAATTTTGCAACCGGCTTACCACCCCAATATTAAAAAACTCTTATATTGTGTATATCCCTCCAATGATAATTTCTTTAAAGATAATAATGATCGAATATACTTATATAAAAATAAAAAATATATTTAATACATGACTTAACATTGGAATAATTGTCATTAGGGTATTCAGCGTGCGACGTATTCAACGCCGGTAAATAAATTCGTTTCTCAACTCATAAAAAGGTTTTCGTCTCGAAAATCGTCCGCTTGCAAAAGTACGCACATGCTCGTATTGTCTTTGGTTAAGGGGTATATTGTATTTGTGGTAAAAGTGGATGTGTGCAACGAAGAGAAGGAAACGTTTTCGACCTCATAAAGTATATATAGTCTTGATCAGCATCAATAGCCGATATAGCCATGTCTGTCTTGAGCTTGAGCAACCAAATTTTGTTTCCAGACTCATGTGATATCACACTGTTACAAGTGAATTTCAAAATTTCTCCCCGTCCCAGCAAAGACCGAAAATTTGGGACATCCACAATTCTGAAGATAGTTGTTAACCCACCCCATTCCAGGATTGCAGCGCTACTCTTTCTCTCTCGCAAACCCTCTGCCTTGTGCTCCCTTTGATGACGGATGTAGCTAAAAAATGTAAACAGATAAAATAATTAAAAATTTCACATAAATAAATAAGCTCACGTATGTATTGTATATGCATTGTATATGCTGATTGATTACGGGTATAAAAGTAGAGTCGCGACCACAGCAGCGACTCACAACGTTCCCTCTCGTTTAAATGGTATTTATGAAAGTTTTTTCAGTAGTTCTCGTCTCGTGGCATACATACATTATTACACCCAAAGAAAAGCTAATTAGTACAGCTTTTTCGTTTTTGCTCGTTCTCATTATTGTTTTTTTTTTGCAGTCCAAATTGTTCCATGATTTCAAAATAAACTTTTACAAAATCTATTCTAGCCGAGCCTGCATGCTTATTAAACGCATAATTTATCTATTTATTTTGTGCGTCGTGTGTTTGTGCTGTTGAGTAAGTACGCCCTCAAATTATATTTATCCCGTCGCACAGTGGTCGATTCGGCCAATATGGCAGACAATAATTAAACTATTCAACAAAACTGAACTTTTTTTTCCGCTTCAAACCAAACCGACTTTTTCTGATAGATTGGGAGCTTTAAATTTTGTTTTACTTTCTATGGCAGAACTTTTTTTTTAAGAATTTTTGAAGTCTT